GACAGCAAGAAATCGGCTCTGCATCGTTTTCGCTTTTTGGAGAATCGGCTGTCTCGTAATGCTTCGATCGCTCAGCAGTATCGGGATTTCATGGCTGAGTATGCGCAACTTGGCCACATGGCACCACTCAGTGACTTCGGAGAAGAGCTCCATCCGAAGTACTATTTACCACATCATCCAGTGATTAAAGAGAGCAGCACGACCACGAAGCTACTTGGAAAAAAATCCGTTCCCGAAAACGGGAACGGACCGTGAACTAAAAGAAACGGCCAACTATCCAGAACAAAATTTTCTCAAATATACACCGTGAACTCTGGTTCACGGCTGTGGTTCCTACCTATGGGAACTCTTTTTTCCCGTATACGCGTCGTTTTCGATGCGTCTAGCAAGACGAGCTCGGGAATTTCACTCAACGACGCTCTTCTTGTCGGTCCGGTCGTACAGGACGATTTGCGATCGGTTGTCATGGGTTCTCGAACCCACGAAGTCATCCTTATTGCAGACGCCGAAAAAATGTATCGCCTAGTATTACTCTTCATCGACGACTATGCATACCTTTGCATCTTCTGGCGATCATCTCCGGACCAACCACTACAAACTTTCGTTCTCAAGACCGTCACGTATGGGACTGCATCGGCTCCTTATTTGGCGACACGTGTCCTAAAGCAGCTAGCTAGTGACGAGGCCGATAATTTCCCAATAGCAGCAAAGGTCGTCGAGAAGGATTTTTATGTCGATGACTTGATTTCTGGAGCAGCAACCGTAGCAAAGGCAATCAAGCTTCGGGAGTAACTCGACGCCATGCTTTCCCGGGGAGGCTTCCAGCTAAGAAAATGGGCATCAAACTGTGAGACCGTTCTATTTAGAGGGCATCCCGCATGAAAACCGTGCTCTTCAGCATTCCATTGATCTCGATCGTGATCAAACGATCAAAACGCTCGGTTTGCACTGGGAACCAGCATCCGATCGTCTCAAGTACAAAATCGATCTACTTCTACCACCAAACGCCGTACTCACGAAACGTCTAACGCTGTCCTACATAGCCCAGCTCTTCGATCTGTTGGGACTTGTCGGTCCAGTCGTCGTATTGGCCAAGGCGTTCATGCAAACACTCTGGACTCTCCGGGATGATAACGGAGCGGTTTGGGAATGGGATCGAGAACTTCCAACCAGTCTACGAAAACAATGGATCAACTATCACTCCAATCTTCCTTCGCTAAACGAATTGAGAATAGATCGCTTCGTTCTTCTCGCGAACTCGGTCGATACACAACTTCACCTGTTCTCGGATGCTTCCGATATTGGATACGGCACCTGCGCCTATTTAAGGTCAATCAACAACCGTGGACAAATCAAAATTGCTCTTCTGACTTCCAAGTCCAGAATCGCCCCGCTGAAGAAGCAAAGCACTACTAGGCTCGAACTGTGTGGTGCTCTACTCTCCGCCGAGTTGTACCAACGAATCACCGCTTCTCTTCAGATCACCTTCACCACGTTTTTCTGGACTGATTCCACAACAGTCATCAATTGGCTCAAGGCTACTCCAACTGGGTTTCCAAGATTCAGCATGCGACTCATACATAGGATTTCCAGTGAAAACTAGATGTATGAGTGCTCATTGCAAGACAGCCTATACTACATGATATAAGCCATAGTCTGTCCAGGGTATAAACATAACGTCGCATCTAGTGCGCTGTATTCGTCAAATGATGCGCTCTAGTTCGCACTAGATGCGACGTTATCTTTAAAGTACACAACAAGAGTAAAATCGATTGACGCGAGTTGGTCATTTCGGTTTTCAAGTCTAGCGACAATAACATGATGTAGTAGTGGAGAACAGCGGAAGACTTCTCACCTCAGTTTACCAACGCTCGTTGCTCATCTTCCTCGCCCACGATGGCGTTAATCACTTAGTTTATTTTAAAACACTTGCACCGTACATAACGAGATTAAAATCGATTGTCGCGAGTTGGTCATTTCGGTTTTCAAGTCTAGTGACAATTTAGCATAATCAGACAACGGTTCTTACGCATGAGATAATGTATGTAAATTTAATGCAATAGTTAAGAATTGACAGAATTTCCCCTTCAATACTACCTTGGGTTGATCAATGTTGAGCTATTTTGCTGTGATCAATGTGCACTAAATGGTAGGATAATGGATTTTGGTTGAACCTATTCATGGCATTTTTGCACTGCGATTAAATGTATGCCGTGTTTTTTCTATGAATATAACATACGGACATGAAAAAACCTCCTTCTTTCCATATTTTGCACAAAAAATACATTTGAAGTAGGGGAATTTACGTATTCTCGGCAACCTAAGCAGCGACCTTCTTTCTATAGCCTTTTTCTCTAAGGAACGCACACATATGCAGTATTGGTTTGTTTACAATCTTTTGCTGCCAGCTGCTCTAACAATTTCAGTCGAAAGAATTGTCAAAAACTGTTTTGAAACGCTTTTACAAAGCTCCAATCTTCTCTAGTGAGAGCGAGTATTGTCGGCAACCAGTTTTTCTTCGGCAACCGTTCCATTTGAACTGCATGTAAATCTGCTGTTCTATTATCGGCAACTCGAAATCAGCTACAATTTGTAGTGCGTGTGTTGCATTTCAAGAAAACCTTGCTAGATTGCTTTTTCTCAGTGGTAAAAATATAGTCAAAGTGAAGCTGAAAGCATAAAGAATTGTTTGCATTCATTCAGCGAAGTGTTTTCGTAAGAAAATCCAGTGAAAATAGTGTTTCAATTTGTGTTGCCGAAAATAGTCTGTCATGCCGAAGCCGTCATTTCCCCTATCTCCTTTTTTACATATTCTTCACAAAAAGTATTTTCTAATGGTCACCCTTGACAGGATTTCCCACCGTTTTATATGTTTTTGAGATTCTTACCCCTCTTCCCTCCCCCTGCAGCCAATTGTCCATACATTTATTTATTTTTTTAATTTGTACGCGCAGTGGATAATTGCTGACCACCCCCCCCCCCTCTAAACTGTCTACGTAGTTAATTAACAGCCCCTTATTTGAACGGAATCCAAGTCTCCTTCCACCCCATAGCTGGCTGTCAAGGCGATCACGCCGTGTACCACCTTTAACCGCTGACTTGCGCCTGCTTCCTGCAGTACCAAACGCCACGCCGTCCAAAACGGTAATGAGCAGAAGCAAGACAGCAGCGCTGTTATCTTTTCAGAACGATGTGTAACCGCCTGGGTTTGGAATTTTTTTTTTTTTCAAAAGTTTTATTACAGAAAATTGGAAAAAATATTTATTGCAGCAGATTCGTAATGTAACATCCTATCGATTGGCGTATTTGGATTTTAATTTCATCTGTAAATGACAATGCTACATGCGTTCAAAACCTAACACTATTTCACCAAACATATTTTTTGATTTGCACCCCAGTATAGTCGACAAAGACGTAGTTCTACGTCAAAAAATATCATAGCACGATAACGGGTTATCTAATTGAAATTGTCATCTCCCATCCCGTTGGAGATGAAGTATGATGCTGTAAGCTCGTTCGGAGCATATGAATGCAGAATGTCTGCAATGGAAACAAGCAAACGAACAGCGTCATGCGACTGGGTGGTAGAATTTAAAAAAAAAATTGAATATTAGCAATATGGAGAAATCGAATTCACGAAATTCTCACCAGCACCAGTAGAAAACATATCAACAGGAAAAGTGCATTCTTCATCAGTGGAGGCACCATCAATGAACACATCATCAGCAAGCAAACCCGTAGAAAAATGCCAAACCAGCTCCATCCATAGATAGAGTGGGAGTGGATATCGGAAAACACAAAATAACAGCGAAACGACCCAGTTCTGGTATAGCCTCCTCGAGTTCTTTCTTTTGAACTGCAGGGGTGTTCACTCAAATTGAACGCAAGTTCAGATCTCTTGATCAGATCTCGTATCTGCCCATCGGACTATCAAATGTCCCTGCCGGATGTCCACCATTCTTGTTCGATCACTTTGGTCTTATCAGACCTCTGCGTCTCTGTCGGATAGCTGTATTTTATTGGAGCCCCAGCGTTCACTGTTCGGAGTAAACGGTTCATCTAACGGAGTCCTGCGTCCTCATATTGGACCGAATTATAATACAATTGAATTCAAATCTCCGAGTAGGCTCGCTGCCTCTCGGAGTGCCGTTAATCTGGACTTTTACTTGGTCCCCTTTCGTTCCGATTGTCAAGTATAAGTAGCCCTATTTGGAGTAAATCCTGGACGAAACACTACCCTTAAACAGAGTCCAACAAAGTCACAATGACCGAATATCACATGACTTTGTCAATTAACCAGAAAACTTCGAATTAAGGTAAGCTTTTCTCCAGGACCCTAATATACGAATATCTCGCGAATGGAAAATTATAGCAAGAAATTTCTTCAATCAATTATCTATTGAATCACCAAGAATAATTTTGCCATCAGAAAACGAAGCGTTTCCGTGATGATAAAAAAGTAGTTTCCCTAACACAGTCGCCGAATATTGAAACCGAGTACGTCAAATCTACGGTCGTGTTTTGGATACAACCTCTTACTTTTTTTCAAGGCTTATTTTTTTTTTCTGAAAAAGCAATTCAGTTTCCAACATTTTAGTCGCACACATCATTTCGATTAGATGAGCCGTTTTTGTGCTATAAATTATTGAAAAATATCAACCACGCCATTTTGAAAAATTATGCGTTACTAAAAATGGCCAATTCACTGCCCTTAGAGAACAATTTTGCAAAGTTTGATGGAATTCTACGAGTTAAAAGATTTTTTTCGCTACTTGGCCTGGAACAGCTCTGGCATGTATATCTCAGCGAGATGAAGAGGATGTCCAGAAGCTTGTGCAAACAGGTTCCCACATCCCGTCGCCACCGTCGACCAATTAACGGTAATCGAGACTGGGTGCTGATTACCCTGCAATGCAATAATCATAAAATAACACATGTCCGAGAGAAAGTTGCATCAGGTGTGGCTTCCAATTCTAATGCGAATCTTCCCTTCATTTCAGGCAATAAACTGATTTCCCTCATCGGTGACCTACAAAGTACAAAAACTTTACTGTCCCAAGACCTCCTGGACAGTCGCGAATCGGTGAAGCACATGCTCAACACCATCGACAAGAGGCAATCGTCGATCAACGCCGCACTGCAGGAGCTGGAACGAAACGTCGAGGAACTCCGCGAGCTGGCAACCCTGGAGGAGGGCGTCTCCTACGTGACCAACTGGATCCTGACCACGGCGGAGACCATGCTCAACGCGCAGCTCAAAGTCGGCTACGACGTCACGACGGCCGATAAGCACCGCTTGGAGCACGAAATCCTGGAGCTGCAGTGCTGGAAGACGTACGGTTTCTACGCGGAGCTGATCTACAAGATCGACAACTTTCCAAAGATAAAGGACTCGGCCCCGTTCAAGGATCTGATGTCGCAGCGCGAGTGGATGGACTTCGTATGCCGGAGCTTCGCGCAACGGTTGGAGCGGCGGCGCAATGTGCTGATCACGTCGGTGCGGTTCTACCGGCTGGTGGCGGAGTACTTCGACCGAACCAGCGAGGTGTTCCAGTCGCTCATCATGGGCGACAAGGTGGACGACTTTGACCTGGCCAATGCGAAGCTGCACAAGCTGAAGGATAGTCAACAAACTTTAGGTGAGTTGCGGTCAGGGGGAGCGGATAGCAACCTGACATTGTAGTCTATACACACATTGTATTGTGTATTGTGTACATTCGAAAAAATGAAATCTGCAGATTCTAATCGATATATCGACATCGAATCTGCAGATTTCATTTTTTTCGAATGAACACTCAACTTTCGCTCGTTGGGCTAAACCCATAGCATACTTAATGAAAGGCTTTCGTTAGTTGGGCTGATCTGTCAAAGCCCTGGCCAAAGCTGAAAATTGGTTGAGGGGCCCATCGATTGTTTATTATCATTAAAATCGATTAGCAACTATAGATGCTATAGATTCCATAGATAAGCGGAGGCACAAAATCTCGATTACTTTTTTGAAGGGACGTATCAGCTTTTGTAAACAATGCATTTGATCACAAATTTGGCGTAACTGGTAGCAGCTCAACGCATGCTAAGACTATCATCAGATAGGGGAAAATTTCCCCTACCTGATAGCGGTGTTAGTATGCGTGCGTGAGCTACCAGGTACGCCAAACCAACGATCAAATGCATTGTTTACAAAAGCTGATACGTCCCTTTGAAAAAGTAATCGTGAACATTTTTTTTTTGGCAACCATGAACAATAAATGATCTAACTGACATCAGTGAAGAATTTTCATGCCATCATTGAGCTCTTCGTTGTGCAGTTTTGTTTCGTACGCAAAAGTTCAAAATGAAATCAGGCATAACATTTGATAACGGCACAAAAGCATTTATAAACAAACATTCTAAGGCCCTTTACACGCGAACCAAAGTACGCCCACGTAAACCAATACCAATTTCGGAAAGGTGATTTTTGCCCCTATCCGATGATGTTTTTGGTTTGTGTGGGCGTACTTTGGTTCGCGTGTAAAGGGCCTTAGAATGTTTGTTTACAAATGCTTTTGTGCCGTTATCAAATGTTATGCCTGAAATGCAGAGCAAATCTTTGCAATAATGAGTTGAGAAGAGGTTTGCGTAATATTTCCGCGAAATTAATCGGAATGAGGAGTGTTGAAATGGGCTTGTACCAAGGGGTAGGTCACTCTGCACACCAATCTTGGGTCTTCTTTTTTGGCAGTGTGCCGCAGGTGTGCCGGTCATAGAGATTTTCACGTCCGGTTGTATTGGTGCGATATGTGAGAGCGTGTCATACATTTTTTAGGTTAGTCAGAGGAAAATAATAAACATCTTTACATGGTGATGCACTCGCTAGCGTTAAACGTCACTAATATCTATAGAGCAAGTTGCGATTGTTTGTAAAATACCCAAACCGGCAATCCGGTATTCATCATGGGAACCCATGGGAACTGAAAGGACCTGATTTTACATGTATCCAGTGTGGTCAGTTTCACGTGTTCATCCGTAGATCGACGGATTTTTAGATTTACTACGGATCTACGGACCGACCATAGAATTCTACGGATTTTCCAGATTTTTTATAGATTTTTTTTTAATTTTATGGTTTAATCCAGGCTTGGGAGTTGTCAACCTCATGACGATAAACTATGTAACAACGACAACAACAAAAATTCAACGCTCATCTGACAAGCACGATGCAACAAACTTCTGCTTGAAAGACTGATCTACTGGGCTGTCTCTCGACGAAACATTTTCTATTCTTGTCTTTCTCTCATTTGGTCACGAAACATCTGTTGCGTGACGTTTTCCAGAATGACTTAGTTGTTTCACGTACGTCGGACGACAAGATTGACGGAAACTGTCGACATGGTTATTGACGAAAAAAGTCTGTCATGTCATTCTTCCATTCTGTCGCGACAAAACTGCCGCTGGTCGTTTTCTAATAAATGGATGTCGCTTTGGATGCGAGACATAACAAGATAGAAATAACTGGAATTGTGTTGTTTTGACGTGATTTCACCTCTGACTCGAAGTAGCTTGAATCTTGGCGCTGAACTTCGTGTTTGCAGTGATGGGTATTTTTGGAACGGACACAACTGAAAGCTGCCGAAAATCGATGTTTGGAATCCAAGATGGCGGCGTCCAGTTTTAGAAAAAGTGGGAAATACTGCCAAATACCCTTCAATATGTCTATTTTCGGAATCGGGATGACCTCTAAACACCAAACATCGTTATCCAGCGCCATCTTTAAATCCAAGATGGCGGCTTCCGGTTTCAAAAAAAGTGGGAAATACTGCCAAATACACTTCAATATATATTTTTTGAAATCCAAGATGGCGGCTTGAAATTTCAGAAAAAGTGGGAAATACTGCCAAATACCCTTCATAGGTATATTTTTGGAATCGTTATGACGACTAGAGATCAAAAATCGATATCCAGCGCCATCTTTAAATCCAAGATGGCAGCTTCCAATTTCAGAAAAAAGTGGGAAATACTGCCAAATACCCTTCAATATGTATAGTTTCGGAATCATGATGACGTCCAGAGACCGAAAATCGATTTCCAGCGCCATCTTGAAATCAAAGATGGTGGCTCCCGATTTAAGAAAATGTGGGAAATACTACCAAATACCCTTCAATATGGATATTTTCGGAATCGGGATGATGTATGGAGACCAAAAATCGATGCCCAGCGCCATCTTGAAATCAAAGATGGCGGCTGCCGATTTCAGAAAAAGTGGAAAAAACTGTAAAATACTTTACAATATGGATATTTTCGGCTCAAAGCTGACGTGCAGATGCCGAAAATTGGAATGCTGAAATGGCGACAGCATCAATTTTCCGTCTATTTAAGGGTATTTGACAGTTTTTTTTTTTTAAACAGGACTGCCATCTTAGATTCCAAAATTGCGTCGGACATCAATTTTGAGCCTCTACATATCGTCCCCTTTCAAAATATACCCATATTGTGGGGGTATTTAACATTACTATCCAATTTATCTGCAACCAGAAGCTGCCATCTTGGAATTTAATATGGCATCGGACAGTAATTGCTAGTCCGTAGCTACCACCGCGAATCCCAAAATACCCACATGCATGTGTATTTGACAGAATTTCCAACTTTTCCTGCATCCTGTAGCTGCCATTTTGGATTTCAGGTCACTCATTTTCTATTTTTAGATGTAATTCTCTAGACGTCATTCCTTTTCCAAAAATATTCATATTGAAGGGTATTTGACTGTACTTATATCTTTTTCTGAAACCGGAAGCCGCCACTCTGGATTTCAAAATGGTATCAGACATCAATTTTTGGCATCATACACGCGTCCTGTACCGAAAATATCCATATGGATTCCAAAATTGCGTCAGACAACAATTTTTGGGATGTACACGTCGACCCAGTTCCGAAAATATCCATATTATAGGGTATTTGACAGTTTTTCTAGAGTCACTTGCCATCATCTTGGATTCAAAACTGGCGTTAGACCTCGATTTTCGGGATGTACGTGTAGTCTTCTTCTTTCTTCTTCTTCGCATTTCAAGCTTATTGCATATCGCATATTAGCTTATTGCGTGCTCTCAACTTAGTGTTCTAGATGCACTTCCACAGTTATTAATTGAGAGCTTTTGATGCCTGTATGTACCATTTTTGCATTGATATGATTGTGTGGCAAGTCCAATCATACTTCTATGCCCAGGGAAGTCGAGGAATTTTCCAACCCGAAAAATTCCTAGACCGAACCGGGATTCGAACCCAGCCACCTCCAGCATGGTCTTGCTTTGTAGCTGCGCCTTTATCGACTGAGCTAAGGGAGGCCCCGTGTAGTACTTGTTCCGAAAATACCCAAATTTGATACTTTTTCTGAATCTGAGAGCCGCCATATTGGATTACAAAATATTGTCAGACATATATTTTCATCGAACCCGTTCCGTAAATACCCATATTGTATAGTATATGATAGTTTTTCAGAATCTGAGAGCCACAATGTTGGATTAAACAATGGCGTCGGACATCGATTTTCGGTCTCAAGACGTCATCCCGATTCCGGAAATATCCATATTAAAAGGAATTTGGCAGTATTTCCCACTTTTTCTAAAACTGGACGCCGCCATCTTGGATTCCAAACATCGATTTTCGGCAGCTTTCAGTTGTGTCCGTTCCAAAAATACCCATGGATTTCAAGATGGCGCTGGATGTCAATGACGTCATCCCGATTCCGAAAATAGACATATTGAAGGGTATTTGCTGTATTTCCCAATTTTTCTGAAATCAGAAGCCGCCATCTTGGATTTCAAAATGGCGTCGGAAATCGATTTACGGTTTCTAGACGTCATCCCTATTCCAAAAATATACATATTGAAGGGAATTTGGCAGTATTTCCCACCTTTTCTGAAACCGGAAGCCGCCATCTTGAATTACAAGATGGCGCTGGATACCGATTTCTGGTCTCGAGACGTCATCCCGATTCCGAAAATATACATATTGAAGTATATTTGGCAGTATTTCCCACTTTTTTTTTCTGAAATAGGATAAACCAATATTGAAGGAAAATAACATTATTTCCGGCCTTTTTTTTAAATCTGACCTCCGTTTTAGAATGGATGGTTTCTTGTCGTGATCCTCATTTTTAAACGACCTATAGACTTTGTCTCAGGGAACAGAATGAGTGACATATGACTAGAATAGATAGTCGCGACTGGATGGATTCTTGATTTTGTCGTGGTGATCTTGTCGTGCGACAAGAAATTGTTGTTTGACGAGAATTTTCCAGGATGACCATTTTTTATGTATCTTGTCATGCGTCAATGACAAACGCGACAATTCCCATATCTGGTTTAATCACTTTAAAAAATATTTCTTTTTGAATGGCTTTTTGGAAAATGGTCATTAAATTTAGCAATATTTAACGCAATGGAAACAAAATCTACGGATCTGCATGAAAAGTTAACAACACTGCATGAATGTGATCAGTTGAAGATGATGCTCAAATTCATAGTTTTCGTTCGTCAGCCGATTGAGGATGACGCGAGAAGTGACGGGTGTGCGAAATTTTTCTTGTGTTCATAGGATAATGCCTTCAAAGGCAGACTAGAAACCTAGCCTTTCGTGATGTGAAAAGCAACGGTGTATCAGCGGCCGGAAAGAGTTGGAACCGGTGGGGACTATTGTTCGAGACCGAATATAGAATATGATGAATATGATTTCTGTAGTTTGTTTTGTGTGAGTTACAGCATTATTTGATATAAGGGTACTAATGGGGTTTGATTAACTGCCTCTTCCTCTCGAGCCCACGCTAGAACCTACATTTCGGATTTAAATCTATAAGTGAACCGAGAAATAAACTGCTAGTCTGAGTTCCTCTGGTATATTCAATTGAGGATGTTCCTGAATATACAGTCAAACAGCACGTAATGTTGTGAACAACTTCAATGACAGTTTTCCAGCAGTGCTCCCATTTTACTTATTTACTACACTCGAATGCCTACGAGATTGTGCTGATGGACGTGCCCAAGCTGTGCCAAATCTAATTTCTGCACAATGTACTGAGTGACTTATCCCTTGGTTTGTACTCATAATATTACAATACTTCCCCCGCAAAGCACACCATGGTGACGTAGCAACTAACCAAATTATTCATCCATGAGCCTCTCGAAAAGGAATCAGCACTGTCAGAAATGATGTTTGACTTCGATTTAGGTGGGCTACAGTCTTCTTAAAGATAGTCCAACGAGCAAAATTCAACTGTATAATATATAGAATCCACTCCTCAGAAAACAGTTTTTGTACAGTGGTCTGAACAATACACTAGAAGTATCTACAAAACGGACTACAACCGAACAAATTGTAATTCACATTCTTCGATCTGAAGACCGCAGATGAGATAATCCACTTCATAATAAACACATTTCTGGAATCAATCGAATTCTTACTCCCCCCATTTTTCTTCCAGACTCCGTCGAGAAGGAAATCATCAAGGAGGGTGAAAAGCTGAGCGACATCCTGTCGATGCCCGTCAAGGATGCCGTGGGTCGGGAAGTCGAGGTGGACTACAGCGAAGACATCGCCAACGTGCGGGACATCCTGGATGCAACCATCTCCCGTTCGCGGATCTTCGTCGAAAGTGTCGAACTGCAGCGGCTGACGCTGGATCAGATCACCCACATCTACAAGTACGAAACGGACGCCGAGACGGCCCTGCAGTGGATGGACGATTTGTACAAAGTGATGATCCGATCGCACACGCACGTCGGGACCAACGTCTACGAGATTCAGGCGCAGAAGGACGAACACCAGACGTTCCAGGAGACGGCCAAGGGAACGTACAACTACGGCTGTCAGCTGTTGAATGCGTCGCTCGCGCTGAGGCAGTCGTGCAAGTTGGAAACCGATCGGAACATCGACATGACCAAGAACCTGCAGGTCACGTGGAAGCAGTTTCAGGCCGTCAGCCAGGAGCAGATGACCCGGTTGCGGGTTTCGGCCGTGTTCCACCGGAGCGTCGAGGAGCACTGCAGCAAACTGTACGAGTTGAAGGATAATGTGCTGCGGATCGGAGAGATCGAGGAGTCCGGCCGGAGGAAAGTGAGACTGAGAAAGTGCCTGACCAGTAGGGAGCGGCTGCTGGTGGAAGTGGGTCGAATGGTGCGACTGGGAAGACTGCTGAAAACGAGACTGAAGGAACCGTTCCTGTTGGATGACCGGGTGGAAACGTGAGTATTGAATTGAATTCGGAAAGTTTGAGTGAGAGTCGAAGAGAGATGGGGACAGGGTACGTTATGTGTGTGTTTTGACACTTTTCCAACCATGTCTTTCGGCGTTAGAGGAAAACCGTTTTTCCTTCTTTTAACACGCCAGCCAAATTGAATGCATACATTTTTATGTGTAAGTGGGAGACGAGGGAAATCGCCCAGCTGCGCTCTCTTAGGTGTGGTATTTATATACTTAAACGCTGCAGCATAGTGCGAAGGGTGTTTGGTCACACATGGTACTCTCTCTGTTTTTATTGGGTCCGATGCCGTCGGGACCACATTGCTACCAACATGGCAGTGATTTATTAATAAACCATTTGAAAATGATACAGAGAATTTTGTACATGTGTTGGGACTGGGATGGCTGGGCGGTTCTGTTGAGGAAGGTTCTACGCGGTTGTGCCGTAGGGTGGGTAATGAAGTTGAATTTGGGATAGACAGCGACATCATGAAAAGTTTCTGCTCGAAATGACCATCTGAGTTACAATGTTTTCCAGATGAAAAATTTAAACTAGCTCGAGATACATGAAATTGGATAGTCTTATTTTCAAAGTGGTAACTTTTCAGAATATCAACAATGATGACAAAGTAAAGAGGGCCAAATTTAAGAAATGTTTTCGGAAAAAAATTGATCGTCAAACAGCTGATGGTAGCAATGCTTAGTACATTCCTATCAATGTGCTTGTCTAAGCACTCTCCATGACCATCCATGAAGTAAAAAGCAACTGGTGAATGTCGTCTTCGGTGGTGATCCATCACCGATCCGGCCATTCCCGACAATCACGACACTCATTCGTGCTCGTTTTGAAGCAGTTACTGTTTTGCTTGCTTATGTGAGTGTGTTGGTGAGTGAGCCTAACAACTTCCGTTTAATTTTGCCAGCTTTGTTTGTAACTCACACAGTCGCGCGTGCCGAGACGAACTTGGAATACGTAGACATTGTTTTCATTTTCTTCTGTGGTTTCCCTTTTTCTCATGATCGTACTGCAGAAGTCTTCACTGTTTTCGTTGTGCTTTTCATCATCAGCTTTGCCAGTAAGGAGCGTGATTGTTGTTTGCCATGGCTGTCGAGTGAGTGTCATGATATTTTGCATCTTTGGCCAAGATGTATATGAAGTACTCGAATATGTCAGAAGATTACGAAAGATTAAACAGGGAATAGGGGAAATGGCTTCAATGTTGGCCTATAGATCTAATATTGGGCCCATAGCTAAAAATCTGCTGTTTATCAATTTTAAATAAATGAACGCGTCATTGGAACGGTACTAATGGATGTTTTTGGTCGCTATTGAAAACTTAGTTGATTGCTGAATTTATATATGGGCTCAAATTAGGGGCATTTAGGCCGATATTACATCCATTTCCCCTAACTGTTCGCATTCTAGAAGCTTTTCATATTGTGTTTCGATTTATCAAAAGAATCCCGGATTTCTTCATACTCAAAATTTGTTGACTGCTGAGCAATTGGAACAAAGGCCATATAGTATTCGTTTAAAAATTGCATGGAATTCATTGCTGTTAGAATATTTAAGGCATGATATACTTTGATCGATATGCCTAGTTTGCTTCGTATAGCCTCCATGCATGTATGTAAAATTGATTCACAATGTTTTGTTCTAAATCATTTCTAAATCTTGATTTTTCTGCCGAAATTGAGCATGATTTTCAACCACATTGGTCACTAGTAACTGAAATTCATAAGCTATGGTTTTTTTTTAATATCAGCGAAAAATATTAGGTTGGCTACAATGATGTCGATGCCTGAGGTCATGGTAACTTTTGAGGTAGGACTACGTCTGTGATTTCTTTTTTTTTCATTGCTTTGTTTTTCGTCAATCTTGTTTTCCGTGTTGAGCACCAATGCTACCGACGCCAGGAAGGCAGCTCCCAAACCTGGACCCTACCTATCGACCCATCAACTTGGCTTTACTTCCCTTCCGATGGAAGGCGTGATCAGAAATGCTATGCCTCAGAACATCCCGGCGGCGCCGACTGGGATTGAACCCAGGCCTGCTGGGGTGAGAGGTAATCACGCTTACCACTACACCACCGGCGCCGCTATCTGTGATTTCTATATGGGGGTACACTTTATGAAAACTGAAAATGGAACATGTAACAAAACTATGAAAGATTTTGAACATTAATAACTGAGCTTCCCCTGGACCAATTCCAATACATTTATCACCAATGGATCAGAAATATTTCTACGCATCTGTTTTATTGAAGACTTTACCATTTTTTAAAATGCTTTTTTTTTTTAATTGCACGAATGTGCAATTGTTGCTATGATAATTAAAATTATCACCGATTGCCTGCGAAAAGCGATTTCCCTAACACAGATTTCAAAGTTAAATTCAATCCAGTCTCTCCAGACGGTGTTTATTCAGTCACCGCGTGTGGTGGGTGGAGGTGTTCTCCAGTACACAACGAAAGGCTCTCCGCAAGCAGCTAACTAACAAGACTGGCCTCAACCGCTGATCGGATTCATTTCCAATCACCGTGTGTGGTGGTGTCTGGTCATTGGCATCAGCTGCAGCATCAGCAGTGCTTTCGGCGCGTGGCGTTTAACATTGTTTTCCAGTACAAAACGAAAGGGCAGCCCACATGAGCATCCATAGAAAGAGGAAGAAGCCGCACCACTATTGATTGGAATCAGTAGCTCTTCGTGAGTCGCTGTAGGCCATCTATGCCAAGTGCGTCACCTTCATTCCAAACAACATAATGCTCACTAGCCTCATATGTGTTTAACACCCTAATTGCTCAGCATTACTCAACCGTCACGACAAAACTGTCCTTTTCAGGATCACCATTAATTTGCAAAAGAGTATTTTTTGGACATTTGTCAAGGTCATAATTCGGATGTCAGTTCCCATATCAAGATAGACCTGGAAATAAGGCGTAACAGCTTTTGTAAACAATGACTTCTTTCGATGATGTCTTGAAAGACAAAGCTCGCCCCCGCAAATCAACATCACCATCGGGTAGGGTAAGACCTGGGTAATGTTGGTTTGTGTGGGCGTGCCTTGAATTCCTTAAAATCATCGAAAGAAGTCATTGTTTACAAAAGCTGTTACGCCTAATTCCAGATCTATCTAGATATGTTTAAATCTAACATACCATGTTCTTGAAGGCATCATTGGGATTTCAATTTCAACAACCAAAGTCAGTCTTATTCTGATCAAGAGATGATGGATTTTTCTTATTCTTAATACGCCAATCGATAGGAATTTTTCCTACGATTCTGTTAAAATTAAGAGTTTATAATTTTTCAAAATGTCACTATTGCAAAATTGCACGAATGTGCAACTGTTAATATGATAAAGGGCGAACACGAAATTATTGCGACACCGAAAATGTCATGCCAATTTTCTTATAATGTTTAGAATCAAACCAAAATTTTGGGGTAGTTTTATACATATATTTACTTCAAAAATCAAAAGAAAAGTTAATCGATGGAGCCTTGAGTGTAAAATTGAACGCATTTTCGCTTGATGCCCTCCATCAAAGTCTTTACAGTGTCATCCGGTACCAGTTTCTCAGTTTTTTTTTCCATTTTCTTAACATGTCCTTCTCGTCTTTGACTGTCTTCTTGCTCTTCCGAAGTTCCCGCTTCATTATTGCCCAGTACTGCTCCACCGGGCGCAGCTCCGGACAGTTTGGCGGATTCATGTCCTTTGGAACAAAATGGACAGAATTGGCCTCATACCACTCCAGGACACTTTTAGAATAGTGGCATGATGCCAAATCTGGCCAAAATAGCGGAGCTTCGTCGTGCTGCTGCAAGAACGGCAAAAGGCGCTTCTCGAGACACTCAGATTTGTAGATCTTGCCATTTACTGTGCCCTTTGTCACGAAAGGCTCACTCCTCAGTCCGCAAGAGCAGATGGCCTGCCAAATGAGATATTTGGAGGCGAACTTCGACATTTTCTTCTTCTTAAATTTGTCGTCCACATCGAACTTGCTCTTGCCGGTGAAAAACTCCAACCCCGGAATTTGCTTAAATTCGGCTTTTTCGGCTCGACAAGTCGAGTATTAGTACAAGACACTGAAGAAGTCTGCACATTGTAGACGAAATACGCGTATCTGTCAAGGATAAGCAAATAAAGTAGTGGAATTAAATGGAAAATACTAATCCTTCTCTCTCTCATTATATATCAAGCATTTTATTTTAAAGCAAACATAATGCAAAACAATTACCTCTCAGTACAAATGATTTGTTTTCCTTCTATCTTGTTTTCCATTCAAAGTGTTTTTATGTTACTTCATACGCGAAGTTAGCGATTTTCAGAGTTGGTTGGAAATGCTAACATGAAGCTTTAGTGTGATAATTTATTAGCTAGAGAATGATCTTTAGAAGAGGGTAGGTGGATAGTTCCATGCTAAGCACCAATGCCACCGACTCCAGGGAGGCAGCTTCCACACCTGGACCCTTCCTATCGACCCATAAACTCATGAACCGGGAACCAACGGCCAGGGTGGCCAGCAAACCGGGAAAACCGGGAATACCAGGAAATATCCGGGAATTTGAAAAGTAACCGGGAAAACCCGGAAAAACCCGGGAATTCGACCAGAGATCCGGGAAAAATAAATTAACCATACCATAGGAACAAATTTTTACACAAGAATTTCAGAATAAATCATTGAAATAGAGTGATCCTTTACCAAATGAATGTCTTGCTCTATTTGCTGTATATTTTTTTTCTGTTTCCCGTATTATTGTTTTTAGAATTTAATCACTCAGCAATATTGCAAATTGATTTTCGTCGTTTCATTTTCAGATGTTCTTGAAAGAAAATATTGAAGATGCTGGACTTTGGAAACACATATTTGTAAAAACTGAAACCGAAATATTATTTTCCAAGGTTTGCATTTTCAAAATGCTCGTGGTATGAATTCCAGAATTAACTTGGAACTCTGCTCTAAATTATCATGGAATTTTCGGCAATTAACCAGAAAACACT